AAAAAAGGCCTTTTACTTGAAAAATAAAAAAAGTTCTCACGACGGACGCAAACTTAGGTTTTATGTTAGCATTTGCCGTACTTTTAATTCTTTGGATGCATTTGTTTCCCATCAATGGTAAGACATATAGAGAAAAAAACTCGCGCAAATTATTAAGTTCAGTTGAAAATATGCGTTAATTGAGATTTACTTAGCCTCAGCCGCCATATTGATCAAGTTCGTTTGTAGCACGTGTTAACTGATTTTTTAACTTTATCAGCAGTGGACTGGGTGCGCCTCCGCTAGTTTTGCTCCATCTCTGCTTCTGGACCCATGTGGTTGAGGAAGAAGAGAGTTCGTACTACGGCTTGGTCTATTTAGTGCGACAATTGCTTCTGCATCCACGACAGAACCGTTAGTTGTCGTTGACTTTATTAATACCCGTACTCGACTTTTTAACGCTCTGATATTGCCTGCGGCCTAATTTTACATGTCCCGCTTGACAGAGTAATCTGTCCAGACGAAATGCCAGCATTAATACGAAGGTGGCGGAGGAGTCGTTGCGCCCTCTATCGGCAGTAAACCAGGCTTCAATCTAGTGGAGGTTCTATCGAGGAACTAAGGTTAAGGGTTACCCTTGTCACTATGATCTTCCAGGCCGGGTTACTTAGGAGGAAAATAAAAGCTGGGAAGCCAGAGTAGTAGGAACAGTTTATTCTGTACAGGAAAAATTAAGATAGATAGGAGAACATTTATTTCTCGGACGAACGTAGTTCGTTTCGTAGTCGGGTCGGGTCACCGCAGTGAGGTCCTTGTCCAGACGTTATGAGGCTAGTCTACTAATGCGGGCGGATAAACGGATTGAGTTAAAACTACTGTGGATTGAAGCCGGAACGAGGAGGCAGGGTGCGCACGCCCGACAGCGTCAGTTGGCGCCTTGCTGTATAGGCATACCGAGAACTGCCTTCGCACGAGGTCCCATGCGCGGAGTGACCTCATTTGTAGCCTCAAAAGTTAGGAGCGAGTGAGGCTGTAGAGCCACTACAGTCAACCCTGTTGTCACCGTTGGCAAACTTTTTTGCGTTTCGCCGAACGTGAATGTGTAGTTCGGTCCTGTCGAATAGGCTGTGACTACAC